GGGTCGCAGCCACCCGCAGGCCCCGACTCGCCGCACCCCGGATTCCTGTCTCGCCCCAGGATGCCTGTCCCCGGCTACCTGTTGGCTTCCCGGTGCACGCGGCTCCTGGTGGCAGTTCTGAGGGAACGCAGAGCCGGGCTGAAGGAGAGCCTCCCCCGGGGAACGAGGTGTCCTCGGCTTCAGGCCGTCACCTGGCCGAGGGCTTCCCCAGACCTGAAATCCGGCCGCCGGCGTCCAGAGCTCGGACTGTGAGCCCCGCTGATGCCGGATCAGGGGCTCCCGGGACACTCCGGGGGTGGCGGAGTTGTGCGTGGAGGAGGGCGGGAGTTTCTAGGGCCAAATGAGGACCCTCGACAACCCCCTCCGGCCCGCACGGTGATAGGCCCCTGCATTTCCAAGGTCACGGGCATCCCCCAAACACACTGGCTTTCCATTTAAGGCTCTGATGATGTCCTGGCGGTGGTGATGAAGCAGTGGGCACGTTGTTAAGTACTTCACATCTATTTTTCTCAATTTATCCTCACAGCAAACCTAAGATGTTAAGTATGCCTGTCAATATTTTACAGATACAGAGACCGAAGCGTAAAGAAGTTATAGAAGTTGCTGAAGGTGCAACAAGGAGTGACCACGGGTCTGACGATGCCAAGACTCCAGACCTACAGGCCTCCAGGTGTCTGTCAGTCCCCGGAGCAGGGGTTACAGGCAGCAGCGTTTCACCCTCAGTGGGAGATTTTGCAGGTCATCGCCCTCCTCCCCATCCCCCTCTCCGTCCTATCTGCCAGTCCTCAGTGTACCAGGGAAAGGTGCCTCCAGGACCCCAGACGGTGATCTGTGAGTCCTGGGAGATTCGGGGACATGCTCTCATCCCGCCCCATTTGCCCCTCAGCCTCTGTCCTTCCAGACTGAGGCTCCGCTTCTCAGAGGGTTTCCTTAAGGACACTGAGACATGGCCTGGGCTGGCTGCAAACTTAACTTCTCCTGAGAGAGTCCAGCCTGCCAGAGCAGGAAGGCCCCACCTTCCACTAGTCACCTGCTGCCAGCATCTCACCCTGCCCAGAGCAGAGCCGCCTGAGGCCCTCAAAACAGCCCATTTCAGTAGGCAGTGGTCACCTGTTTGAAGAATCAAGGAATATACGTTGTGTTAATTTCCCAGAGCTGCTGTAACGAAGTGCCACAACCAGGTGGCTTAAAGCAGCAGAAACTTTTATTCACTCACAGTTCTGGAGAGTGGAAGTCCAAAAGCAAGGTGTGGGCACAGCCGTGCCCCTTCTGAAACCTGTAGAGGAGGACCCTCCCTGCCTCCTGCAGCTTCTGATAGTGGCCCGCAAGCTCGGAGCTCCTTGGCTGGTAAGTGCATCACCCCAGTCTCTGCCCCCGCCTTCACAGGGCCCTCCCTGACCAAACATGACCTCATGGAAGACATCTGCAGAGACCCTATTTCCAAATAAGGTCACATTCACAGGTACTTGGGGTTAGGACATAAGCATTTTTGAAGGACACAGTTCAACCCATGACAACTGTTCAGGGCACTGAGCTTGTGGTCTGATTTTCCATTAAAACTGGAGCTCTCGGGTCTTGGTTTGTCACAGCAAGAAAAAGGTGGACAGCGTTTATGAGATGGTGCTGCCTTACACACTGCGAAGATGTACGTATTTCACTCCTGACTCCTTTCCCTTTTTATTAGTCCATCAGTGATGCCTTTGTGGTCACGGTATGACTGTTTACTCCAGGCATAAGTGCTTCTGTTTCTCTTTCGTGTTTGGTGTTAAAATGGAATATTAACTTGGGATATAGCCTCTCCCTCCCAGGCAGTGGCACGAAGCATGCTAACGTCAGAATAGGTCATGCTGACCTCGCGTGCTCACTGAGGTCCGATCTCCTCTGCCTGGGCCTTAGGCCTCATCACAGTCCAGCCCCAGCTCTCCTTTCCTGCCGCTGCCCGTGCATTCACATATGCATGGGCCTCCCTGCCCATGGCTGTTTGCCCTGCCCAGAAATGCCCCCCGGGTTTCCACATCCATGCCTTTGCTGTGTCATTCCTGGTATCCCTTTCCCAAAGCCAGCTCTTCTGTTGACATGTTCCCCAATCTTCAAGGCCAAGTTCAAAGGCTACCACCGCCAGGAAGTTTTCTTCACCCTCCAGCTTCCTCCTGAGAAGGCTGGAGGCCCAGGTTGGCCTTCTGTTTGTTGCAGCAAAGTGTGTTACAGCTCAGTGTTACAGCTCAGTTGTGACAGCAGCCTGGATCTGGGCGAGAGACCAAGCAGCACTCAGAGAGTTGGAGAACTCAGATTTATTACGCCAGTGGGCCCAGAGGAATTAATACTCCAAGCTCTGGATCCTGTCTATAGGTTTACACAAGCTTTATAGGCTGCCAGCCTATACTTCGCAATATCATATGCAAATAAGGTGTAACAAAGGTGACTGACTAGGAACGAGCTTTGTAGAAATGCACCAATCAGGAGTGATAAAATGGACCAATCAGGAGTGAGCTCCATGCAAATGAGGCACTACAAATGGACCAATCAGGAGTTAGCTGAGGGAACCAACAGAATCTCAGGGGTAAGTTCTGCTTTCCTAGAAGTAAGCCGTTTAAGAGTTAAAAAGTGAGATAAAGCTGCTGGGCCAGGGAACCAAATGGTGCTGGCAGGAGAGTAGTGGCCCTGCCTGGGGGCCCTGCCGTCCTTTTCATGGGGCTTCCCACCTCACATTAAGGCACTGACCACAAGCTGTTTTGGTCTGAAGCAAATTTATGTCTTTCCTTCACTCCCCCTATTCCTAGTAAGCAGTAATGAAGTCTGGAAGAGGCCCATTTCATACAAGGAGTAGCTGAGGCTGTGGGGGAATGTTTACTTGGAAAAGAGAAGACTTCGTGAGGCCCTTCAACTGCCAAGACACACACCCCTCTTCCTAGCACAGAGCAGTGCTCAAATGTAACCTCCTGTCCCATATTAATGTCTCTCTTGTACCCCTTTCAGGTGGTGGGGTAGGCAGAAGTCTAAGATAACCCCCA